TGAATTAGTTTGTAAGAAAAGGGAGTTTGTATTGAAACGTCTTGGAACATGACGTTTTACTAGTTAAAAGTCTGTAATCAACTTTACGTATTGTAAACAAACGCTGCTTACAGAGCTCCTAAGGGTCTTTGGGAAGTGTCTTTCGATGGAATAGGTCTCACTACTGAACTTGAAAATTTTGTAGCCGCCTATTTAGTTAATAAAAAAACTGTGTGCCGTGAAGATGATTAACTGAGATCAAGATTTAGCCCTAGTCAATCGCCTTTTCTAAAGTAGATTTATGTCGTTGGAAGCACTGCTATCGAGAAATGAAGGAAAGGCTAACGTTTTTACCATATAGAGAAGAAGGTTTGTTCTACTGTCTTGATTTCAAGCTCGAAAAGTCCTAAAGATTTGAGAAGAGGAATTCAACCCAGATTTGAGTGATTTACTGTGATCTGATAGGATAGTGATAGATTAGTGAAAATTTAACACAAAAGCTACGAAAGCGCGTTCGGAGGGGCAAAACACAAGTCTTTATTTATACGTAATTTATCAATAGATTTTTCATTTGCATTCTTTATTACGAAAGTTTTTGCCATTCGTGTGACCAACGCTCAAATGTAACGGAACAGATCTGCAGTCAGAAGCCATCGGATGTGTGATATTTAATCTGAAACACATGGGTGCTCAATGAAGAAATCTTGCTTGATTAAAACTTATCTTGAAATTCAATCAGATTTCGACCGAGTTCCCCCTCCTCCCTTCCCTTTTATTGATATCCCTCCAGACAACCAACCTTCCTTTGACCTTTGATGAAGCAATCACCTCAGCTCATATGCTTGACTTTGACACTCATATGTTCCACGACACGAACACTGTGGCGCATTGAGACATGCTCCATGTACAATGTGCAGACCTACAGCCAATGGGTAAATTTTCAACAACATCAAGTCTGAATGGCAATTTTCCAATAATACTCATAGTCTCTCAATTTGCTAAACTTTGAAGCATGTCGGGGAAGTCAGCAGCAGATGATTTCTTTGGCATAGAATACATGTCATCTCAACAGCCCTCGAAGGCTGATGGACAAGATGCGGTCAGTGTTGGGGCAGAAGTTTAGTCTTCAGCCTTTTTCCTTTTTTTTCTCTTATAAACATTTACAGGAAAAAGACAGTTCAAGTGGTAGCTCAGATGAGAGAAAGAATCCCCATCAGAACGACATTGCAGAAGAGGATGCTCAGTTGTCGGGAACTGATTTTTTAGACATGGCATTCTTTGGGAATAAGTTGAAGCATCATGTAAGATTCACAGTCTGATTTTCTTCCTATAAAGGATTTTTTTTAAAGGAGGATATCATGTCTGAGCAGAATCCCAGTCACTCTTACGACTTCTTTGAGGAGAACTTTTTCAAAAAAAAGTCGTTGAAGTAGTGAGTGCCAAGTTCTACCATTTTCCTATTCCAGCAGTAGTACTAGAACTCCGTTTTCATCAAATTCTCTGGAGCTTGGTTCGAATTCTAGCATAGAAGATCATCAAGATGAAACGAAAAAGAGAGCTCCTATCAAAGGTTCACGCAAGCATGTAGAAAAAAGTATTTGGGAGAGGAAGGAAGGCACGTTTGGACCCTCAGAGGTTGAGAATGATTTTGAGGTGTGTTCTAATGATAAAGTCAAGCTCTTTTTTTAAGTTCAGCTTTATAGGTAATTTATGGAGTAGAATGTCTTTTGTCTTTTGCATAATCTTTCAATAAAATTTACTCATTTAACAGAATTAACATTATTATACGACTGGAGGCCTCGTGGTTGAACACTAGAAAGTCGCTTGAAAACGTAAATGGAAAAAAAGGATTTGAATGACTCTCTTATCATTTTGGTAGCAATTTCACGTGCTCATAAATTCGAAGGAAGACCAAGTTACTAGCAGCCGAACGAAGTAGAAGATCACTCATTTTGCATTATAGATTGGCAATGGAGATTCAACGGTGCTTCGCTCTGA